GGGGGGGGGGGGGGGGGGGGGGGGGGGGGGGGGGGGGGGGGGGGGGGGGGGGGGGGGGGGGGGGGTAACCACGACCGACCTTGATCTTTGATCATTACGCAAGGTCGCCTACTACTATACAGAAGGAGTCTACGTCGTCATGCAGGGCAGTGAATGCATTCTAATCGTGTTCGAATTTCGAACGTGTGGGAATGTCCACTGTCGTCATTTGTTTTAATCCAACACACCAAGCCTAGGACTATCGACTGAAGTTACTACTTTTGGCGCGGGGGGAAACTTTCCAGCAACCCTCGCCTCAATCTTTCGCGGCCAAATCAGGACCAAAGCGTTTACCTTAGAATCAGACACCACCCCGCGGCGCCAAAATGTGACGAACGAACAGATCGTCCTCCACAGACGACGTGGGGGAGATCGTATCCTCTTTGTAAAGGCCAACCTCCACAGCAATACAACTAATTGCTCTTCTTAAGTTCTTACATCCGTGCCGAGATCAGGAAGAGTTACATCTACATCGACCCCACCCCTCCTCCGGATCCAAGACAATGCCGATCCCACTCCTCAGTTGGTTGGATTCAAGACGGCAGCTCGATTTCCATCCCCGGTGCCAACGCTCAAGAAGAAAGTGTCAATCAAATACACGTGCAGTAGAGGGCAGGCCCTCAATAACGCCGGTATGTGCCCGGCCAATCGACAGGCGCTAGTCAGAGGGACCGGCGGTATCCAATGTACAGAGTGATTTGGAGATTTAGTCTGTGCCCAGCATTTCCACCGGCGTCATACCGGCGTTAATCATCCGACGTTGTTGAGGGCCCACCGCTATGTTCTATTAAGGGAGCTCGATCCGTCCTCGTTGCCAACGCTGAAAACAAATAGTCGATTCAAGAGGGCAGTTAATAGTCAACTCAAGACGGCAGCTCGATCTCTCCTCTCGTCATGCCCAGCAGGGTATCCAGAACCTTGTCTCCGTCTTCTCTCAGGCCGGAGTGCTGGTAGCGGTTCGTAACCCAGATCTTGCAGTCCGGCATGATCCTGGAGGTCTCGTCCGAAAACTCTCGCTCCACGTAGCTGTTGAGGAAAAACGTGAAGAAAAGGCACAAGAAAACAACGACGTGGACTTAAGGTGATGCTGTGGATTGAACAATATAGGCTTGGAGGTGCGGATCGGTTCTGCCCCTCTACGTAACCGCCACGCTCATTCCATTCACCGGCATGCCCCCATAGAAACCCCGCGACTCACATGTCGTCGTAGTAAACCGCGGCGGCGCAGGGAACGTCGCACTTTTCTAGGGCGCTGCGGTCGTACAGCGCCGGCCATCCCTCTTTACTCGCCAGAAGTTCCGCCGCATCTTTCAAACCGAACAGGCACGAGTACGGCCCGTCGAACATCCATCGGTAGATCATCTCGGCTGTAATAAAATACAAGGGAAAGCGGGGTCCGTGGTGGGGGCACGGTAGCGTATTGGGGGTGTGCGTTATCTAACGCACTCATTATTGCGTCTCCTTTGGTTGATACTGGTACCATTTCTTTCGGCCACGTTTTTTTTTGTGTTTTGAGACGGAATACTGCTGTTGTGCTCTGTCTCCATACCGAGGATCATTTACATGTAAGTATTGGACAGGGTGAGGCCTCCCGCTGCGCCGGCCCTGTGGTCCCCCCGCCAATACCTAGTTGCCTCCATCGAAGCTTACCTGTACTTGGGGGACCACCGATACGGGCCGTTGCGGCCCAAACCCGGAACGCTTCGTATAGTCCGCGAAGATGAAACGGACAACAGCGAAGCCATAAATGCCAACCGAACAAGGAAACAAGACGACGCAGCTTTCTCACCGACCATGTAGGCAGGCCGTGCGCTTCCTTCCTCCAGAGCGCCCTCCCAGTCGAATAACGAAGCCACCTGACAAGAATAAGAAAACAAAAAGAGCACGAGACGGCTTTGATATTTTGGGAGATAATGCAGCAGGGGGGGAACGAGAGAGTAGTGATGCAATAAAGGAGGGGCAATCACCAAATAGTACTGGTGCTCCAAAGCCATACCAGTGGTAGGGGTAAAAACTGTAAGGTATCACCTAGA